GGCTGAGCATGGCCGTAGATTAGCAATGCCATAGGTCTCAAGATGAAGGTAGATTTTTTGCCACGCTCACCTAAGTGTACTAAGACGTAGGACCTTTACACTTTCTGACTATTTAAAAAATTCATTTTCCATTTTTACAAACACACAGAACAAATCATTACTTAGCTCCCACCCTCGAAAGTCGATCGCGAACACAAATAGTAAAACTTTTAGTGACTGTACGTAAGGTGTATTCCATAAAAAAGTTTTTAATTATATTTCAATGTCTTGGTGTGTCTCAGCCTGTCCGTCTTTTGTATGAAGCTAAGCTAAAGGTGCCTTACATCTCGTACTAAGTGCAATCTAGTCTATCCCTCCTCATTGGTATATCGGCAATTTTGAAGTCATCCTTGGCTAAGTCACTATTGGGCCCACGTGCGTGGTCGGATCGATTTTGACTGCAGGTGAATATAAATCGATTCGCAAATGCTGAACGCTCATAAGCAAAGGTTGATCGCATTACTTCAGTGCGCTGTATCGGGCCAATTCTGACATTAACAGCATCTTAATGATTCTTCAGCGATGCCTTGAATAGTATAATGAATATCGATATAGCTCAGTGAACTGGTTTATATACATTAAAAATAGTGTCCAGGGCTTGCTTTTGTATCTTACGTAAGTTATTCAAATTTAATTGATGTTAATGCCCAAAATTAGAAGGGCGATGTCCAGAGCTTGCTAAAACAATTAGGAAAACAAAGTTGAGTCAAACACAAATTTAACTATCCATTCAATTGTTTTAAGGCACCAAGAAGAGAAGACGAACCGCGTCGGATTTGATTCCGCATTTAATGTTGTCGAACCGTTGATTTGCATCGTCTATTGCAGCTAACATTTGTAGCGTATGTAACCAGCGATCTATACATTGTGGTTTAAGTTAGCGGATAATCAAATTTTCTTACAGGATCAATTAATAATTTTGTTTTGTTTTTCGCAGCTAACACCGACACAATTCTTTCATTCCAAAATTTCAGCAGAACTGCAACGCTCAATTATCGCACCTTCTGGTGTCAATAACACCACCTCATCCCACCCACATACAACCCGCTAATTGGAGCAAGATTATTGAGAAGCAAAGTCGATCTTTAAGTACGGTCAAAGATAAGGTGCACAATTTATTTCAAGGTAGTGTCACAAGTGAGAGGTACTGACTCAAACTATCCCTATCGACATAAATAAGCGGCGTAATGGACATATAAGTTTTTAACACACGACATACACTGATTGATATATGGTCAAGGATACGCAGAAAAATTAAAGCAATACAGGTCGAGTTGGTAATTTTGTCAAACACTAAATATCGATGAAAGTGTGTTCAATATAGTAAACGAGCTTCGAATATATTTGTGAGCGGTCGTCTGCTAAAAAGAAAAAGTTGGTACATCCAAGATGAATCACGAATATTTTGGTTGGCGAGGATTATCATAAAAACGTTTGAGGCCTGGGTATTGCATCAAATAATTTGCACGAACGCGGACCAACTTCTCACAGAATTTACGGTACGCTAAAGGGTACGTATGCATCATAAGCACGACAAGGAAAAGTACTAAATGGACGTCAGAACATTATACGTATACTCTATGGTCCGTAAATGAGCGGAGGAACTTATGTTTGCCGTCATGCTTGAAGCCGCTTCAAATACAGCATTACTGAATGAAGACCTATTATCTCGTCCAGGAATGCATCGAATAAGCACGATCGAGACGTTTAGCTCATAATGATTAATCGAACAAGGAAACTGAATGAAAGGATAGTTTATGGTAACCGTTACCAGAAAGATCCCAAGTAACGACGATGCCTCCTCAAAAAAAGGGTAAGTAACAATTTGATCCTAAGTCAGGATCGCAACAATTCTCAAGTCCTTGATTGACAATTGAAAGAATAATGAAGAGAAACGGAGAATGTTAGACTGGTACGATTCGAAAAAGAGACGATTTAAACCTTCGATAAACGAAGGTGGCAATTTATTTTCATCTTCAGCCGCATACATACAGGTTAATTCATCTGTAGCGAGAAATAGATCATAAAAGCAAAAGGTACATTTTTGTGTGTCAAGGCATAGATATCTGGTGTTATCGAAATTACTTTAAGCTGGACGCTATATAGATTGTAACAGGGTTGCGGAAATTTTTTTGACCATTGATAAGTAGGAGCCAAGAAATTTCGAGGCATTCCCGGGTACAGGCTGTAATTTCTTAAGCGCACAGAAATACCTCGACTTTTTTAGAAATACAAACGCAAAATCTACATGATTAATGTAATTGTATTTTAAGCAAGAAAAAAATGATGATACATTATTGACCTGTACGATATCAAATTTTAGTAAAATTACAACTCAATTGGATGTAAAAACTGACATTTCAGCAGAAAGATAAGGTGGATTATGCTACGAGAGACAATTTACCCACAGGTCGCTAACGTGTTATCATGTTGGAAGTGCTTCAAGAAGCACAAGGTGCGATCAAGCAGCTAACTATAGCTTCTGTATCGATGAAGCTAGTTCAGTGCATAATGACGGAAGCACATATCGATGAAGCTAGTTCAGTGCGTAATGACGATAGCACATGGTACTAGGATGAGGAATTACACAGAAGATTTTAATGAGGGACAGATGAAGTCTGAAACGATTACGAATCAGCACATTACCCTACAGTACAAGCTTAACACAATCAAGTGCAAACTCATTGTGACTTTGCGCAGCACCGTAGAATAAAATTCACGATGAAAGATCAATTTTAAGCTGCAAACGCAATGATACATAATACTATCTTCACGCATTCGTAATTCGATCGTTGCCGGCGCAAGCGCCGTCACGACAAGATTGACACTCTACTGGTCCCTCTTTGGTGCCTTGAATATGCGCCTTCGTTCGAATATCTTTTTCCCCCGGTTAAATCGCCCTTACAAGAACGCAAGTTGTTACAAATGTACGACACTTAGGCTATCATAATACCATTTGGGAGCCCAGATATCACGTAGCTAAACCTCTTTTAGAAGCCTAATTCACTGTCATCGAATTGTGTGTGCCCTGAAGTGGCTGGCCTTCTGGTAATCCGGTAAATAGGGGCCATCCAGTAGGGGGGTGTAGGCCCCGTTCTTGTGGCATTCTCGGGTCGTTTGTTCTACAGATAACTGAAATGCATCACCGGTTAAAGACTTAAGACACCTGAAATATAAAAGATTATACTTTTGTGAAAAAGTAGTTTTTCAAAAAAAATCGTCACTTTCTGGTGCCATGTGCAGCATTATGAAAGCAGTTTTTAGTACAAGAATCGACATCATACTACTAGTGTAAGAGCACAAATTGTCTGTAGAAGCCAAAATTAACCCTTTAAAGAGTCTTAAAGCACGAAGTAAAAGGCGTGTTAGCAGCACGGAATATCTTTACCTACTAAAAGCGTAGACATTGCATGGAAATTTGACGGTGTCGCATGGGCAGAGACGCAGCACAGAAAACCGGTGAGTTTCAACTTCTTGATGCATGAAGGAGAAAAGGTGAAACGACACACCGCTTAGCCGCGCATTACATGTGCCTCTCTAAAGGTCAGCGTGAAGCGGCGTGTGCAGCGGCGGTTATAGCGTACGACACGCGACAAGTTCAATAGGCAACTTCGTAAAGGCTAGCGAAGGAGGGGTCAGGCAGGAACACATTGTTAATCTCAATTCCAATTCTACCATTTACAGCGCAAGTCGTCGGGACATAACAGGATATGAGCCTAAGTCCGCCTTCACCAACAGTCAACTACTTGACCCCTTCTCCTGCAGCATCTGGCCGCGAAATTGCCGCGCAGGAGCGAGCTGTCGTCGTTGACGGCAAGTCCATGAGAAGGGGAGGGTAGACATGTTAGATTCCTGATAATGCTCTAGGCGCCCACCGATCAAATCCTGGCGCTCGAAGCGTCGCGCATGTAAATTAACAAAGCGAATGGTTTCGAGGAGATATCAATAGCGGTTTCATAGCGTAGGAGCTTGGACGCGTCATGGGCGGCGCCCCAATGCATAGATGCGCACTTGGCTAAGACGCACCACGCCGGCATGTGGGCGGGTGCAAGTGGCGGCAAGGGGAGCTCGTTTTTCAATCCAACTTCTTAAATTTGGTCGCAACAAGGCGAAAGACTACATATAGCTCGGTAGAGAGCATTGCTGTTTGCATAGACGCTGGCTAGTGAATTTAAACAGGTGCCCGCACCAGCACCGCTAGTGCGACCAGCGCCAATGCAGGAGCTATTGATGCGCACACCGGACGCGCGCCAAAAAGGCTCATAATTCAAAGGTTTGACGGCAGTGGGCTCTACCAGGGCCTCAGTTCTAGGTTCTCGGACTGTACAATATCATTTATCGGCAGGTGTCGATGGCCCAAATGTTGTTTGGCTTTGCATGGGCGAAACATCTCAACGTCGATCTTCTGGGAACCCTTTGGGCATAATGGCCAAAAGCTATTACAAGAAACAAGTTTACACCTGATGGCTCGAAGACGCGACGCTTGATCACGCGTTGGGTCTATTGATGCACACGTTTATGAAAACCGATTACAACGTCGCTGATCATGAATCCTTTCACGGCTAAGAAGGAATTAAGAGGTCGAGGCCAAGGCAGTTTCTGTATCCGGTCGCTGTATGCGACGCGTGCGGTGGAGGCGCCGAGGCGCAAATGCTGGGCAACTTTGTACACTACGTGTCAACTTTGCTTTAATTTTTTTATTAATTTTGAAGTACAAATACAAAAGGTACCACCACTAACGGCAAGTGAAGGAGCTGGCACACTCTGTACAAGCATTTAAGATTTAAAAAAAGACCGGCTAAAAATTCAGCCGTGAAGTCGTTTTTGCGGTCACAGAAAGTAGAAGGAGACTCTCGTGCTACACGTGCGGGAAGATAGGACACTCGGAGATTGACTGCAAACTGAAGAAGATGGCAAAAGATTAACACAACGAGAGCAGTAGCGAAGAAGAGGTCAACCTCATGGTGCAAGACGAAAATGGAGACGCCTGGAACGACTGGACTCTGGACATGAGCGCGGGCTTCCACCTCATCAATATTGAGCAATTGTTGCTGCAAGTAAAGGAGTGGAGAGATGAGGTGGCACTTTCCGAAAACGAGAAGCTCGTGCTGACGAAGGTCGGCAACGTACGGCTCTTTCTGACCGCCAACGATAAGGCGAGCACTGCGCTACTCTCGAACGTGTACTTTGCGCCGATTCTTGCGCGCACTATTGTGAGCTGCTCTTAACAATAAATTAATCTTGGTGATTTTTTTTCATAAAATCCTTTTTTATTATATTTATTAAAAACAATAATTTAAGCAGTATTTAAATTTGTAGGTTTCATTGAACCAAGATTTTAAAGCTTAGAAGGCTAACACTCTACCAGTTAAGTTAAGATTGTTTTAATTTAAATTAATAAAGTTTATAAGAATTTACATTAAAAATAGCTTTTAATAAATTTCTTGAATGCTGTTTATAAATCTTTTGTTTAAATGTTTTTTTTTGTTCTTTTTTTGTTGATGTTACAGCACCTATTTGCATGTTGAGCTGATTGTACGACACGTAAGTTGTAGCAAGCGACCGACGGTGTTCGAAGAGTACGAGCGTTGACGTACGCAAGCGGAAATTGAATTGTTTCCAGCCGTAACGACGACCCAGTCGTGTTTAATGTTGTAATACAGATCAGTGTTTTGGTCATCAAGACAGTCGAAATGGCTGCAAAGGTGAAAAGCCAGTTGATGTCGTCCTGATGACACTAAAAAGTAAAAAGTTAAACATGTCGCCATAAATCTATCGCGGCTCGCTGCATCACTTCCCTTCAGCACGTAAGGCCTCTTTTTTCCGACACGATCGATAAGATCGCCAGAAACTCGACGAATAGCATCAAAATTACGTACCACAAGCGCACGACTTGCAATATGTTTGCCCAGATCAAGCAGCTAGATAAAAAACAGAGCCTTAATGACTCGGGCAAGGAACCTCCTATTGATCGCATTGGATGCTTAATTTGTTCAGACCTCAAATGTCCTCCAGGACTATGCCCTAAAACCGGTATTTGATCAATTTTATTGCAAAAAAAAGAGATTTATCGAGTTTTCTTTGCGCACGAAGGATTATGTTACGAAACAGTTCTCGAGTTTACTGTTGTTCTAAAAAGGCACATAGAGTGTCGCAAAGACGTCCTCACGACCGAAAAAGAGGGGATTTTATAAAACATGAAGCTACTCTTTGAAACCCAGGTGTCGCAAGACAATGCATCGAGTTCATGAGCCAGGTATTTAAGGCTGAGAGGATGCCTTGGACGTAACTAAACATGAAGTGAGCGATGATCTTTGCGTCAGGGCTACAACTTACATTTTAAAAATTGTGGTAAAGTGTTTTTACTACAATTTTAAACGGAATCCTGCGAAATCGAAATCGAATTGATTCTCACCTCTCACATGACTCAAGTTTATTCAACCGATTTACGCAGCATCGTCATATTTGAGTTGCAGTGCACTGTTTATTGCAATCAATTAAAGAAATCCTTTGCTCACCGAAGTTAGTCGTTACGATTCTCGGGTGCCGCAACGAGAAAAAGGAAACCCGGGTTTATTTAGAGAAAGACACAACTTCATCACGGTGATCCATAAGAAGAACCTATTACGCTGATCGAAGCGCAAACTGAAAACTGCAGCTTGAACCCGATTACAAAGATCGCGCTGACACTGACGACGGTGCAACAGAGCAGGCAAAGCAGCAAAAGTCCAAAAAAAGGCCAGTGGACGCGTAAGCCACACATGGCACGAGAAGCTGTGAAAAGGCGGCATCGTGCCAAGACGAAGTAAAACCCAGCAACGATGTTGGTTGGACATGTGTTCTAGCTAGACTACAGGAACTAATCGAATGAGATCAGAGCGTCAAATGCAACGAGTAGCAGGTCGCGATGTTGTTGGTCATACATTTTAGCAAGAGTAAGTAATACTAAAAGGAGATTAGAGCGTCAGATGCCCCGAGTGGCAGGTTATGATGCGCGAGATAACCAGCGCTTTTGAATCAAAGCCCGCGTGAACATGGCGCGACGCCCAAGCCACAGAAACGTGCTCCACAGAAGTTTAGTTACAAAGACCAAAATTACTGCTGACAGCGATCTGGAACGGTACAAGGCATGTTTAGTTGCATGCGGCAATGAGCAAGTATCTGGCGTGGACAAAGCACATACGTTCGCCGCCGTTATGATCGTGACGGCGGTGAAAGTGATTATAAAATGGCTTCGACCTAAAGAGTTCCCGCCAAGCGTGGCGACGTGCTTTTTGCTTAAGTGGAGGCGATAAAAGGTTAATACAAAGTATGCACATGCCGAAGGACATGATGATCAGCAAAGACAAGCTCGAAAAACACGGAATGGTAAGTGGCACTGAAGGCTTGCTCGAGTTTAACAAAGGCTCTATAGACTAGAATAAGCGGGACGAACATGGAGCTAGTTGTTCCCCAAGAGTATTGAGGAGGCGGACTTGACGCGGTACATTATTGGCTAGTAATTGTACTACCAATACGAAATAACCGGCGTGGTCATCGTCGGTGTCCTCGTGGACGATCTAATCGTATTTAAGAAGACAAGAGACGCGGTTAAGGCGTTCTTTGTAAGCCCCAAGTGCCTCTCAATTTAGAAAAAGAACATCGGGATTATGTCGAAGTTCCTAAGCGTGTGAGTCTTTCACAGCAAAGAGCGTGAGTGGATGCTAGATCAGGAGGAGGCAATCTTACACATCCTGCAGCAAAGAAGGAGTTAATCTTCGAATGCTGCAGCAACATTAAATGCACGATGTGAACGAAGGGCGAGCTCCGATCGGACGAGACTTCTACGATGCAGCAAGCGCGGAATGTAATCTACTGCAAGTCACTAGCGCTCCAGAACATCCGATCTTCCTTGCATTCCAATAGCCATTGAATAGCTGCTCCAGGTGATCCCCTAGCTATTTGAACGCACGGACATAAGGCCTGATGCATGAGACCTGACATCTCGTTTGCGGCTTACAAAGGCACGCACTATACACGGAGCCGCGCACGCAGAAATAGAAGCTTGCAAATTATTTGCTTGCTACCTGATCTGCACGCAAGTGCTCAAGCTCCGCATGATAAATAAACGAAATCACACGCGCAACTAACGCTCACCAGCTACAGCAACGCCGACTAAGCGGTAGACAGGTCGGATCGAAAGTCCTCGGTTGGCTGCGTGGTGCTGCTTAAAAGCATTGTCGCAAGCTATGGGTCGAACAAAAAAGGCACCTTGTCGCTGAATGCAATATAGTCGGAATTTGTGGTTGAGTCAAAAGCTGATCGCGAGCTGCTCGGTATACGCGGAGCACCCACCGAGATCGGCGTTACACCGACGCTGCCAATAACGATCTGAATTGACGAATAGGTGGCAATTGTTCAGAGAGCAGAAGAAGCACGAAATTGAAGCACATTGACATTCGCATCAAGTACTTGTGCGACCAAGTACGACGTAAAATTGTAGCGCCTGTACTCGTGAAGAACGAGCTCATGCTCACTGAAGTCCTTACTAAAGCCCTCAAGGGAACAAGCTGACGGAGTTGCGGACGCTGCTTCAGATCGCGTAGCGTAGGTGTAGAAGAAGCATGGAGTAGTCGACAAGGAGGAGGGTTGATTATAAACGGTGTCCGCATGGGCAGAGGCGCTGCACAAAAACGTAGTGTCAACTTCTTGATGCATAGAGGAGAAAAGGCGAAAGAACGCACAGCTTGGTCTATACATTTTTGTCCGTCCTTTGTGAATAGCTTGAAGCGGCGTGGGCAGTGGAGATGCTAGTGGAAGACACACGTATAGTGCAGTACGTAGGGAAGTTAGGGAGAGCGAAAGTGAGGCTAAGCAGGAGCATACTTTCAATATTAATTCCCATCATACCATTTGCTGCGAAAGTCTTGGAAAATAGTATACTGCAAGAGAGAAAGTCTTGTATTAAATGTACAAGAAGCATGTGATAAGAAGGTGGAATTTGCAAATCAGTCGAAGATTTATCTTGTGAAACAAATTCAAAGAAACCTAATTTTAGTGATTTTAAGTAAAATTAACTAATCGGCGAAAATGCTTCGGAACGCGGCGGCAAAACTGATGCACTCACCACCAATGAAGTCTTGACAAAACTATTATTATGTACGTGTATTATAACGGTCAAAAACGATCGATTTTATCGCATTTATAAACGATGCACAAGCGTGAAGTATCCGAGGTTTCAGAAACACTTCCCGAAAAGCCGATCGATAAAGAAAGCATTAGTGTACATTTAAAAAAACCAACGTGACAATCTCGTATGACGTATTAGGCTTTCGTAATATTATTAATTCATTTCGCAAACGCAAGTTGTTAGTGTCAAAGACTTACTGTGATTTAATGCGTGGTAGAAAAATTTGATCTTCTGGAGATCAAAGAGATGAATACGGTCTCTTTGCGTTCGATGCTGCCAATTACTTTCTTCTTCCTATGAGTGAGTGACAGGGTGAACAGCTCATTAAAAGGTGAGTTCATACGTCATCAGGGTATCCATACAAGCGCTCAAGGGTACGCTGGTAATTAACGTTGGAACGAAAGACTCATTCACCCTAACTTGCCGTACGTATATCTTGTGGCAGAGCGAGCTATAAGACGGAATATCACGAAGCACAACAAATCTGACGACTGCGAAGCACGCCACATTAGAGGACCTATACCGTACACATCATAAGTATATGAAGCTCTATGTTTAGTTAAAGGAATTCGTTATACTTGAAATTCTGAAATTATTTTTTTTAAATACATCTCGAGCCCAAAAGCGTACGAGGTAGTACTTGTTGTGGCAGATGGATACTCACGTATACTATGGCATACCCACTATACTTTAAAGACGCTTCGTAAATATATGATGCTATCAGATGATGCATCACAAGGAAAGAGCATCTCTTTTTCGAAAATTAGGTCAAAAATGTGGTCACTGACGGCGGATGACTACTTATACATAGATAGATTACATCGTGGTCAGGCATTGCGCTACTGAATTGTTACTGAACCCACCCCGTGGATCACACCTGAAGCTGATTGAGAGAGTATACCAGACCCCTATGTTCATGATAAGGCAATGATGGATTTCACAAGGCTGCCAAAATTGCTTCGCGTGCGTGCGCTTCAGTTTGGCTGCATACGTACGTGTCTCAGGTAGCAGCAAACGAATGATTCCGATCGGGTATCATTCAAATAGTGGTACTAAATTTGGTTTAAACTGCAAGTGGCGGAACTAGAAGGTAGCGGCGATCGAATTATTCCCGTCTTTTTTTTGCTGGCTTGGCGCACTTTATAAAGCATAGCTTTACAAATAAAAATAGATTGCAAACCACTTTCATTATACTGACTGCTGTAGACGATCGTAATCCTTCAATTGACGTACTGTCTATTGATCTCACATTCGCTAACACGAGGCCTAGATTAACATCGGATTCATGTTAAAAAGCATCTGTAAATACGTCATCACAGATTTTTCGCACTGGCACACTCGGGATTTTTTGCTTTTCTTAGATAACTCACTCCTAATTATTTCATGGCGAACAATGAGGTCTACATAACTATACAAGGTTCTTCACAAAAGCACTTCATCACCTCACTGCTGTGCAATCCAAGTCGTGTGCATAAGAATGGTAGGCAATGGTTGCGACACAGTATATTAAATTCACTCATTTGCCCTCTTATAAACAAGGACTATATGCCTTTCCCATTACGAGGACTTATGACATTTTTAAGAATTGATACGTAAAGCATGGCAGGCACGTGAGCAATGACGGCCAAACTTAGCTGTAACTCCCACAATGAAATAGTATTTGATTGTTCATCGCAAGATATAATGCGACGCTTATCCTTTATTCCGACATGACGTAGAGTTTTACCCGTCCACTGCGTAATTGCGAAGAATTGGGGAAACACACGAACTATCGTATTTGGATAATCGAGCATTAAACAACTTCAACGTGTAAAGGCACCTATACAAGCACCAAAAGGTGTTGTTCTACAAAACGATGACATCTTCTATTGGATATAGAAGATGTCGGCCGATTTGATAAGTTACCAGAGCGCGCGAAACGACGGAAATACCGGTAGTAATGTCATGCTGCGAAGTAGGCAAAAAATTGTCGCACTGCAATATTGTCCAGCCTTTGTAAGTTTATTTTTACATCCGCCAAGTAGAAGTTGACTACACTCTTGGATGTTTCTCTTGAAAATGCGCTGATCGTATAAGCATTTTAATTGCTCTTAGTGTGATAGAGTGCGTCCTCATTGTACGATACAATAGAAAAAAAAACTGTCAAAACATTCGTGATGTACGAAGACAACACAAGGAATAGGATATTGATAACATGGGAAGATCGACTGTAATGGCTCTTAATAATATGTACAAATCTTTGTTTGGTTTAAATTAATTATGTGCTGGCTAATTTTCGCTAATCATGTTTGCTGCAGAACGTAGTTACATATCTTGCAACCCATCTTGTTTTTTGTTAACACAAAATAAACGTCTTACTCCTTACGGTCCTGACTGAAGGATTTCCCGAGTATACCGACCTGAATACCTAAATTCTAGATGTCACTGGCTACTCTGAGATAACTAGGCGAAGCAAGCGACTTCATTTTCGGGTGTGACATTTTGTAGCGAGCGGCCAAATTTAAAAAAGGGTGCACACCGTATCGCTTGACCAACTTTATTTAGTGTGGATAGCAACTTGGATATTGCACTTGACACCAAAGATTGAAAAGATATCACGTTTGGTATGTAAAGCTATATTGGCATCTCCTAACCTTTGTAATTTGCGCAAATAACGCCTCGCCTTCCATCTACTACTTTTCACTAAAAAGGATTATCGGAGCTGCCATTTAAGCGACAGGTTTGTCAAATATTTGACGTGACTTGCTTTTATCTTATCAAAAGAAGGGAGTTTATATGCCTTAAGGTACGGCTGAATCTAGACTTTTAAAATGGATTGCCGAAAGACCATTCCTTGAGATACGTGGCTACATCATTTCTTTTTGCAATAGAAAACCATGTTGATGGATACGCCTTTAAGCATTATGCAGCAAGACATGCACAAGAATACCCAGTTACTTACTTTAGTGATTAGCTAATACAAACGCTTGCAGGGACGTGTTACCACGCACGATGGAAGCATTACTTGTCATTTCACAGTAACTTATTCCTTCTATGTAGACTGAGAGCTGCGTTCAAAACCTTCTTTGCGTCGCGCGCGCCGACATGGTCATCGCTTGCTAACATAAACTCAACGTAAAGTTGTATTCTATTCCTATTCTTTGTCACCTTACCGCCTTACACATGCACCTGACAGCTGTGTGAATTATATTCCATACAGTGCTTGTAAAAACGCGACATGCGTTAAGGCTTCTTGTAATACAGATCACCAGAACGATGGTGTCCTGCTCAAAAATGAGATTTTTAAGAACGAACAACGATATGTAATACCTCAGTAGCTTTGTAATTAAACCACAAATAGAAATAATCTCAAGAAGTGTTGTCTATCGTGCCTGGAGGTTGCGGACCAGAAAAGCACGCAGTGCCATATTTAGACCTTCTATATCACTTGCGAGACTAAAAAGGCAATAGTCAGATTGCAGCGTAATTTACGCGCGCAGAGATGTCAGTAGGACTACGAACGTTACAATGCACAGCAGAATATGCGTAAGCACATTCAAACCTCATTGTCTTACAGTCTTCGTTTCCTGTAATCAGAGTTTAGCTGGCAAAGAATCAAAAGTATGTTGTTGATTCTGAGTGAGACGCAGAAAGCTGCGACACAAAAAAATATTTTGGGATTATACGTTTCTTTCACTTTGTAGAAGCTAGTAGTGTCGGGCATTTGAGATTATACTATCATCTTCTATGAGTACGAATGATATTAAAAGGATATTGGTGATTCCATACGGGCAGAATTTGTAAGGACCAAGCGATATGCTTTCCACGGCTCTGACATGGCCACAAATAAATTAGCTCAACAACTGCTTTACAATGCTAGTTTCAGGCATGTAAATTCGACGACACGTGTCCATGCGAATCACGGCGACACAAATATGCTTCTTGACACTGAATATTGGAATTATTGCATGATGCTTTTGCTACAGAGGACGACAATTTGTTCGTGGCTCAGAACAAAAGTATTAGCTTTTGTGATTTTATGTGCAAATGGTAATAGAAATTACCGATAACAAGGACTTTAGTTTCTATTTCGTTTCGATCAACGTGTTGTTGGTGTGTCACTAACCAGTCTCGGCATTCGATTCCACGACAGAAAATACTGTGCTAAAGCTGTAATCAGATTGAAAGCTGGAAACACGCGAAATATTGTCCTTGATTGTTTCCGTCCACGTGAGACAACCCCTGTGCTGCTTGCACGAAAGAAAGTAGTCAACGAAATGCTAGTAAAGCCATATATGTGTGCACTGTCATTTCTTAAGATCGCTCTTTTCAGACGGCAGTGCAACTGCGTCGCAAATGATGGGACAACAGCAACAAGTTGGGGCGCCGGAGAGGGGTTCATACGTATCCTCCAACAAACTCTTCCACGGAGATGCGTACAGAGACTTGTTGTGCTCCACTGATGGTTTTGATCGAGCAGAAACCCAGAGTGGAGGAGCTCTACGAACAGGAGGGGTTCCAGCACTTTTCTCAACGAAATCGGTTGGTCTTCTAGTACAGTATGCTGCAGTTGGGCTCATGATGGGAGCGCTTCCAGCAGCAGTTACACCATTCTTGAGCTACTATCTGAACATGGAAGGCCAATTGACTACATCAGCTCGAGCCTTGCTTGGTATTCCGTGGTCGATGAAGGTGTTCATCGGGATCATATCGGATTGTTTTTCCATATTTGGCTATCGCCGTCGGCCTTACATGGTCATTGGATGGGTACTTTGCTCGCTCTGCCTCATTACGATGGCTACACTCCCATTGGAGAAGCCCTACTTTCCAGAAGCTTCGTGGCGCGCACTGAAGCCCATAGAGTACACAAAGGAGGAATCATCTGCCATTAACTACCACGCTCCAGCCTCAGGAGGAATCTATGTTGTTCTCATGATGGTAGCGACACTGGGCTATGTAGTTGCTGATGTGGCAGCAGACGGTGTCGTCGTCGAATACGCTCAGCGCGAGCCGATCTCTATCCGAGGCCAAACTCAAACCGCAATATATGCAGTGAGAACCATATTCAGCATCTTTGGAAGCCTTCTTGTAGGCTTTGGACTCAGTTCACCGCCCTATGGAGGAGATTTTGCGTTTGGTATCAGCTTTCCAATGTGCTCGCTTGTGCTGGCCGTGTGCTGCGTACCAGTGCTCCCCTTGACTTGGTACTATGTCTCTGAAGAACGGGTGGAGAGTCCGGAGCTGTGCAAATACATGAGCGATTTATGGATTACAATGCAGAGCCGAGCGGTTTACCAAGTGATCGCCTACAACTTCTTTTCCGGGGTGCTTGGTGGTATCAGCTACGTAGCTTCCGATCCAGTTACGATGTATTGGGCCCGTGCAACGAGTTTTAACATCTCGGTATCGCAGGTTATTGCTTCTGGTGTAACCGCATGTACACTGACCTTCATGGGTCGCTATGGACTGGGCTGGGACTGGCGCTTTGTTATTATCGTCACCACACTGTCAGTGGTCGCACTTGATTCCGTGTGCACATTACTTACAACATGGGACGTCGTGCGCAATCAGTGGTTCTGGCTAGGCTTGCCTATTGTGGAAACTATACTGTCCAGCGTGAACTTTATCGTGTCAAGCTTTGTTGTTGTGGAACTGGTCGACAAGGGTAATGAAGCCGCCATCTACGGACTCTTGACGACGGTCGGCAATCTGAGCAATCCATTTTCGGCCACGCTCACCAAGGCGATCGATGATAAGTTTGCCGTCAATAATCGTGACATCCTAAATGATTCGAAAGCCACTCGCAGAGACGTCACGATTGTTGTGCTCATTGCATATGCTTGCAAGTTGCTCTCGCTGCTGTTTCTTGGTCTCCTACCGAGACAAAAGGCCCAGACTCAAGAACTAAAGAACAGTGGCCAACGTAGCAAGTTGCTTGCTGGAATGACCATCGCTTACTGTACGTTCGCATTGACCTGGTCGCTTGTAATTAACCTGTTGGGCATATTCGATAGCACGAGGTGTCTAAAAATCGTAGGGGGCTGTTAAGGAGAACAGTAGTTTGCATACCGGTGGATTAATAAAAGTGCAGACAGATTTGTGTACCTAAACCAATCCCCAATTTTTACTCACCGCTTTGCTGTAGATCTATCCGTTGCTCTCATTTCGCCGTCTCGGTCATGTGCAGGTATGCTTTTACATGAGAAAGTAGTTGCCATCACATGGCTATTATTACGAGCAACTGAGGAATGAAGAAGCATCAAAAAGACTCAGCCAAATAGTAGTTTAAGTATGACGCCAAGCTCTATTATCTAAATGGTTTACTTTGTAAGTGTTTGAACGAATGTTTGCTCTTCAGTAGCTTATTTTCGTCAAATTGATTGTGCTGCCGCCGGATGTTCTACTTTTGTGTAGAAATGCACGAATGTCGACGTTAACCCACATTTTTAGCGTCGAAACAAATTGCCGTTATTAAAGCAAGAACGGTATTTGTAACGGGGTTACACGCGGTCATTTCAACCGGTTTTGTTTTGTGTCTACACCAAGTAAAGATTGGTGGATCTGAGTGGTGCAATCTTGGGTCTACGTACTCACAGTAATACCGCACCTTATCGGGTAAGTCTAAGGGATCAGACTTCTGTCATAAGATCGCAATTGAGAAGTCAGAGGGAAGGTTTTATGGTATTATTACCGTAGTTAAAGAATATATAAAGTTCAGTTCCCTTTTGAATCGTTGGAAGCTAGTGCCTAGTCAAGGCGTATTATGTTGTAAGAGTGTTAGCCTTGTGAAGGCGTTTGCTCTTGTTTAACTGGTAGTGACTAGTTCGTGTGTGATTCTGTGAATCTAAATCCCTTTGAAACCGGGATTGTTAAGCTTGTACGCTTGGACGACTGTACGTCGTTGTTAGTTTGTTATAACTAAGAGTCTCTTTGAGTCTAAGACTTCCTCAGTTAAGGAGCGCTAAGTAGCCCCGCTACACTTGGTAGCACTTGTAGTCAATCTACACCTAAGTTTTCACGGACTGGATCGTCAGCGAGGATAGAGACGGCCATGAACCTCTCAGAGGCCCAGCAGATCACGCTCTAAAATGTCACAGCGTTGATCGGACACGATCGAGTGGCGCTTTTGTGTCGCAAGGCCCGGACGCACTTCGTCCGCGTCTCGAGGCCTTCTTGAACTTTGAGTCCACGGTGATCGGACAGGTCCATGACCATTTGGCATCCGCCATGCTCACTCGGTATGTTCCAATACCGGACACCTAGGATAGGACTTCCCCTCTGTTCTTAAGTGTCAAGACTTTTGAGGGGGGGGGAAGAAAGTCTCCTTGTGTGGGATCGTGAGAGATAGGTTGCCATCAGCTCGGCCTTGCTGCGGTCAGAGCAGCTAAAGGTGGGCCTAGCCCTACCGGAGTTAGGTGTCCGAGCCAGGGACTAGGCTTTCACTCCTGTCTCCTCGATAGAAGAGACATTCCCACCTGGGACATGCTAAAACAGCAGCTATATCGGTGTTTGATCCGCCTAATCCGACATATCGCGTGCTATCACGCTTCCTGTCAATCCGCCAGGGTAAAAGAGACTTAGTCGATTGTGTTTAAGAACTACAAACTTTTATTACTACTATGAAAATTATTACCTGAGACGGTTCTGGTAACTATTTTATGGAGGGTCTTGGCACTGGCGCTTCCAGAACAAAAGTGTTTCGTACACATTTTTGACATAAGAGGGTGTAGTGGAAAAAGCGTTGAGCGCATAGTTCAACTTTTAAGCTGCCCGTTATGAACTCATGGGTTATAATTGAACTTGTCGAGCAAAGCTCATCTCATGGATGGGGCAGATGCCTTGTACCTTGGTATTGCCGACGAGAAAGACGAGAAAGCTGAGCTTTATGCTGTCAAACAGCGTTCAAAAATCCTGATATGTTTCACGTGCGGAAGCATCAAACACATTCGCCCCATTTGTCCTTGAAGAAGTACCAAACAAGCTCATTCGAGCCGACCTCCCGTCGCTAACAAACAAGTCGGTAAGGCGCGGAAAAACGTCTAGCCTCAGTAAGCGTGGGGTGCCTTGCTGGGGAAGTTTTAGGATTTGTTGTACCTCTGGTAGGTAATGGAGAACAGGGCATAGCCCAAAGTGACTTCGTGCACAATGTCACGAAGCACGCGTAAAAGCCAGGCTTGTTAGTTGCGAAAGCTACAGTGTAGGGCTTCGATAAGCCGTGGTCGATATTGATCGACTCCGAGGAATAGGCAATTTCTGTACGACGTTGTTCCCTGGAAAACGTCAGAAGTATGCTGAGGCACTGAAGATGCGAAAGAATGATATTTTCATCGTTCGCTTGGCGACAGATGCATTAGTCTCTGTGCCTAAAGTTCGTTTAAACTTCGCCTTCAAGTTTCCGGACTTTGACACTTATTCGAACGCTATCTAGTCTATGACTTGGATGAGAGGTAAATCTCATTCTTGGTATGGCTTGGCTAGAACGCCATGAGCCATGAATTTATTAAAGGTCAGATACCTTAGGCCCAATTTGCACTGTTCCTAGTAACGCTTTGGAGAGTCATGAACCCACCTCCACTGGAAACATAACCTCTACTGGCGCGAGCCACGGACTGAAACATTCATTGTGATGACATCGATATGGTCGAACTCGTCAGGTTGGACGGTGTCAAAAATATTTGTTACTAGACAAGCTCAATGACTGTAAGTGAGAAGGCACGAAATCCGTCAAGTGATAAACTTTGTGATAACAAACGACTAAAAGCTAAATGCATCATTGGCTTAGAGCCCAGTCATCATGGGCTGAACCCATCTAATTAGCGTGAAGTGACAAGTAATTAACCATTGAGTGATGTTGGCCGTGATTGCGACACACAAATTGTTAGCCAAAACCTTTTTAGTGAAATATCAAGTCACCAAGAGCAACGTCAATTTGATGAGTATGGAGTGGCTTGTAAGTACCTACTGGGTGGTGATCTCACTAGAAGTGACTGATCATTTGATGTCGGTAAAGATATTGGATTGTAAAAATATTCAAATTAAGATTGCCATAGTTCAACACCTTGGGGTCGTTTAGTCCCAGTTGTGGGCAATGGCATCGCTCGTGCTAATGGACTACTTAAGGTTGACGCCGTTTGTCACCTTAAGGGAAGTGTCGTCCCAAATGTCGGTACTGACATCGGCCATTATTTTGAGCAAGTAAAGGTTGACGCACTCCATCACCTTGGGGGCGGTATAGTCCCGGATTCGGATATAGAATCGGCTCTATTAATGAGCAACTTAAGGTTGCAATCATGTCCATTTTGTGGACATTGATGTCCCGGATGTCGGTAGTGACATCTGCTCTTGTACAGAGCAATTTAAAGATGATGATTTAATCAAAGTTAGGAACGAAAAAGTTCCAGTATAGTAAGGACATTCAGTCTCGTCACAGAGACGATAGCGAAGCCAGAGTAGTGTTGTGCAACGAAATGCGTCTGTTACGTCACTGAGTGTACTAGAAATCAGCTATATACGCTCATAATAAAGTAACCGGTGATGTAGATGGATCACTGAGTCTTAAAACTCTACTCTTACTGAGTACTCTGTTTAAGCTAGACGAAATGTCTGTCGATAAGTTTGGCCAGACCTTGAAGTTGGATGACTTATCTAAAGTGGTGGTCATTAGATCCGATAGTGAGTTGAACTCGTCGTCACTTCTTGACGAGGCTTTCTTGGAGGACACAAAGGCTGCACTGAGTGCTCAAATAGCATCTTCAATCTTGAAAAATTTTAAGGCCTTTTTATCTTTGGTTAAGTAGTTTCAGGATGTGGTGTGTCACGAGTCACCTTCCACTCTGCCTCCTGATCGAAGCGTACATCATGAAATTTACCTGGTGCCTGGAACCAAATACTGTGTGACACGGCAAAATCCTCAATCGAAGAAGCATTGTGGCATGGTGCGTGAGAGCAAGTCTCCGCACTCGACACCGACATTTTGTGTCAGGAGCCAAATGGCAAGTGGCGCATTGTGCATGTTTACACTAAGCATACTGCAGCCATTATACCGGCACAGACGCCTATACCTCGAAAGCAAGTTTTATAAAAAGGTATGGTAGGTTATACCATGTTCAGTGCATTAGACTTAGTCGAAAGGTATTATCAATTGCTTATGCGAGCGAGTGATTGCCCACTCACAGCGGTTAATACTCCGAGCGGTATGCTTCAGGAATGGCTTTTTATGCTTCAAGGACTGTTTAATTCCCTGGCTACATTTATTTGTCTTGTGAAGCAATTGTACCGACCTCACCGAGGACACGCACAAAGCTATTTCGATTATTTTTCTGTTCATAGCCGTGCAGACTATGGCAGATTATATGTGGTCAATCACACTGAACATTTGCTAGCAGTGCTCGAGTGTATGCACTCGAACAAGCTGTATGCAAATGCATCAATATAGAATTTTTTGGTGCTGAAGAAATTTCCTTTCTAGGGTACTTCATTACAAAGGGTGGTCTTCAAGCGGATCCCGCTAAGGCAAATTTTATTGTTGACTGGCTAATTCCGTCGAACCAAAAGGACGTGCGTAAATGGCTCGGCTTTGCGACCTACTTGCACAAGTACAATGCAAAATACGGTGACATGGCAAGGCCATAAATCAACCTTCTCAAGAAACATGCGGTTTAGAGTTGGGACGCAGTCCATGCTTACGTGTCAAAAGCCTTACAATACAGCCTCCTTCATGATCCAATTTTTGCTTTGCATGACCCTGAGTGGTCTTTCAGTGTCGTCTGTGACGCATCTGTTTTTGCTATTGGCTGTACATTATTGCAGACAGATTTCGATAGACATGATCGCGTCATTGAGTTTATATCTCGTCAGCTCAAAGCTGCAGAGAAGAACTAATTAGTTCAAGACAAGATGATACTTGCAATGAAGTATGCTCTTGTTAAGTTCCAATTTCCTTCGGCTCAAGCCTTTTGTAATCTTCACAGAGCCTGCCTTGTTACGCACTGCAACACGGTCGCCTCACCTCTCACAATTAGGGCCCGTAGAAATTGATCTTAAAACTT